AGTACTGCATCCTCTCTACTCTGAAGCTAATGTCATTATCAGTTCCAATCAGCAACTACAGCATGTGTGGACTTTTAATATTTGAATATTCAGAGAGCAGATATTACAAATCAAAATGCTGTTAACTCCCGAGACAGGAGTTACTTGATTTGAATTGAGTGCATCATAAAGCTAATGTTTGAATCAACTTAAGAGATGGTATTGTTGAAATTGTATATTTCCTCTCCCCAGAAGAGGAGAATGCACATTTTCCTGTGCAGCTGATACATAGACCAGAAGTTTAATTTCTATTGTCTAGAGGAGTCTGAGGACTGCAATTGAGTCTAATGCTGAGAAGGTGCAGAAACAGTGCTGATTGATATGATATATTGATATGAGATATGATATGATATGATATGATATGATATGATATGATATGATATGATATGATATGATATGATATGATATGAAGAGTGGTTGACTCAACATAGTGAGCCCCCATGTGTATCAGTTTCTATGTTGGTAGGAAAATGCAAGTTACAGTTACTGATTGAATTTAGGTGACTAGAAATACTCATCATAAACTGAATGAATGTTCCTCATGCCTCATCCTCCTTGCTAAGGGCCTCTACATTATTTTATTGGCTTGGGGAGATAAATCCCAAATGTATCATCTGATGCTCTTTTGACTCTGTAAGCTATAGACAGCATGAGGCTCAGCTATCTGAGAGCAAGTCACTGTGAGTGCAAGAGCTGTAGAGCTGCATCGGTTTGTTTCCACTCCTGGTAGTCTCACAGCAATGTGTATCCTCCGTGTGACTTTCTTGGACATGAGCTAGAGCAGCAAGTCCCACTATAACAACAAGTGAAAGAGGGAAGTTTCTTGCATCCTGTTTTAACAAGACGCTTTCGCGTTTTAACAAGCCTTTTTCGCTAGCCATACCAATGCTGTCAAACTTGCTTTATCCAGTCATTTCTCCATTTTCCTCAACACAGATATTTATGGCCAGAAGAAGGTGGCCATACCACCAGAGCCATCAGTATGGCTTTTGGAACATTTTGGTCCTGGTTAAGGACTCAGTCTTTCTGCAGTCATCTGAAAGAAATTTAAGGGCCTTTCCACAGCTTGTGGACATACTGCACTTCTCCACTAGCTTTGTGAAGAATTGAACTGCTTCCCCTTATTTCAGAGGAAAAATATTTTACATTTGTTTTGTCTAGAATCTAAGAGAATGATAACCCATCCAAGGTGGTCTTCCCATCCAGATGCTCCATAGCACAGTGAGTCTTAATCAGGATTCTAGTAGTGGTGGCTACTCATTTCAGGTGGTTTGGAGTATCCCTGTGTAGGTAATTCACTGAATAGCTGCCAAATATCCTTTAGACCATGATTTCTGAATGGAAGAGCCTTTTGTTGAGCTTTTATGGGGCTTGAACCCACTCAGAGCTTGAATTTTTTGTAGAAGGCCTTGTCTCTGTTTCTACAAGCACTTACCTCCTCAAGAGCATTTTCAAATTATTTTTGTCTTGTTACTCCAGTTAGAATATGCCTAGCAGTTTTGAAATTAGAACTGGTCACACCTTTGTGAACACTAATGCTGAATTGCATCTTTGGTGCACAAGGATTTGGCAGCTGTCAGGAGTTCCTATGCCAGTCAACTCCTTGCAGCAAAAGCAATATCTGCTTCGTTTCTATAGATACCATATTTCATCCATCTCTTCTATACAGCTCAGTCCCGGCCTTGCTGAGGGCTTTGGGTAATCAGAAAACATGAGTCTCGGGGTTACATGCACAATAACATGTTACAACTCAGGGCCAGCACACTCAAGCAGTGACAGTCTCCAGCGTCAGGATAACAAGAATCCAGACTTGCAATAGATCTGCTATGATTAATGAAGCACTTTTTCT